TTAAGACGACTGGATTAACAAGCCGTAGATCTGGTTTTGCATTGCACAGCTCCGCGTTCCCCTTCCCCACTTCCTGCGACCTCTGTAATTCAGTATTTTGACCAAAGGTCTATTGACTTTATTTTAGACATCGACGAGTGTGCTACAGATACCCACAACTGCAGCAATGAAAACGTCGTTTGCCAAAACACCAAGGGATCATTCAAGTGCACTTGTAAACGTGGATTCACCGGGGATATACACAACTGCACAGGTAATGAACATTGTAGAAACACAAGTTATATAATCCTAATTATAACGTACTCCGAAAATCACATCTAAGACACAAACGTTTCCACTAAGACGACTGGATTAACAAGCCGTAGATCTGGTTTTGCATTGCACAGCTCCGCGTTCCCCTTCCCCACTTCCTGCGACCTCTGTAATTCAGTATTTTGACCAAAGGTCTATTGACTTTATTTTAGACATCGACGAGTGTGCTACAGATACCCACAACTGCAGCAATGAAAACGTCGTTTGCCAAAACACCAAGGGATCATTCAAGTGCACTTGTAAACGTGGATTCACCGGGGATATACACAACTGCACAGGTAATGAACATTGTAGAAACACAAGTTTTATAATCCTAATTATAACGTACTCCGAAAATCACATCTAAGACACAAACGTTTCCGTTAAGACGACTGGATTAACAAGCCGTAGATCTGGTTTTGCATTGCACAGCTCCGCGTTCCCCTTCCCTCCCTCTTAGAGACAACAAAAATAACAAGAAGAATTAACAGACATGATTCTCAATCGGTTGATAAGTGGTAATGGTATCAGACGGTAAAATAATCTAACATAATAATACAATGTCATTCAGAACAGATCAGTATTTATAACAAAATGAATTGGTAAGAATCCAGCTTCATGATGTTATTCGTAGCCAAGCTAATGATCAAGAACAATCTAAGACTAGTTACAAATTCACCATCAACGACCGAAGTAGTCTTTTCGATTGGTATAATGCTTACTTCGAGGTCCAGTTGCTGGTTCAAAAGAATGCCGATGGTACTGCCTATGGAGCAGACCGATTACTCAAGAAGCGTCGTTATAAATAATCTATGGTACCTGGAAACAGAGCACAGAATAGTTAATGCCAATCAAAACGCTGGATTTGAATCACGACACCTGTTAACAAGTGGAAACAATAATGTAAATGTAATCATTCCTCTCAACCGTTATTCATTTTTCGAAGAGCTTGAAGATCGCACGTTACCAACAATGAAATTGCAATTTCAAATCCAGCTATTAGATGACGCAAATATCATCTGCAAATTGAACGCTGTCGATAATGCTCGCGTTGTTATCGATTGATTCTTTTTATGGGTTGCCAGACTCCAAAAAAAAGATAGTCTTTACGAACAATTTCTATCAAACTTTATGAAAACGGATCAGTGAACTTATATGCAAGAAATGTTTGAAAAATCATCTCAGTGACACTATATCATCGGGATTTTCTCAGATCAGTACAACCATCGATAATCATNNNNGCCAAACGGTTAACAAACATCGTCAATTGAAAAAAGGTATTGATATAAAATTGGCTCAATCAAGCATCAGAAACCAAATTGGAGGCAGCCTTTTAACATCAATTATTAGATTGAGAAGAACTCTTTTACCAACTGTTGGAAAGACATTGGGACTTTCTGCTTTATCTGGTTTGGCAAGTGAAGGAGCATCTCAGTCAGTTAAAGCAATTTCTGGAAAAGGTGCTCAGTCAGGTGGTTTTCTAATACCAGAGAATAAAATAAATCAACTCATTCAATACAATAATGTATTAACTGAAAAACAGAATAGATATATTTTAGGCGCTTTACAAAGTAGACAAGGTGTTCATACTAAACCAATACAGACTTAAAAAGGAGGAGACCTTGGGACTATTCTTGCTTCAATTGGTATTCCAATGGCTATTGGTTTGGTTAAGAACTTAATTTCTGGACGAGAGGCACCACGGTTGGGATCAAAAGGTGGCAAAGGAGCTCCAAGATTGGGTGCTTGCGCATATCCACCTCCATTTATCGGAAATTGGTCAAATGATCTAGTTGGCAGAGGTTTAAAAAAATCCAAAAAAAAAACTTAAAAAAAGGCAAAAGATTACTTCCAGGAAAAAAAACAGCCCGTTAAATTCAATTCCATTGATCGGAGCAATTTTGTAAGACCACAATTTCACAAAACAATCCCTTTAACAAACTTTGATCTGATTAAATGGTGTGAATATCTAAAAAAATTCCAATAAATAATGTTTTAAGCAGAGATGAAAAGGTTCCACACAACCATAAAAAAAAACTATTTATTTACAATCTTTACCCATCATACATGTAAGGATTACATTGGGTAATTATAACAACTTTTGTTAAAGATAATGTCACCAATTACTTCCATTCATTTGGAATGCCACCATTTGGGGACTTTTCAGAGAACAATTGCATAACTTACATACCTGGTACTATACATACAAAAAGATATATAAGGAGTCGTGATAGCTTAAAGTTAGAGACCTTTTTTCATTGAGTTAGTGTTACTACGAGGAGCCTAGAGGAGCAAGAGTCGGATAGAGTTGTTGAAATTAATTACTGGAATCGTCAGCCGTGTGGAAGACTGCCTTTTAAAAGTGTTGTGGATATTGATAAGCACCAAGGATCTTTAAAGAGAACCGTGAGTTGTGCAGTAGTGCACTGAGAATGAAGTTATAGTATTTATAGAGGGCTGTAAGTTAAGAGGATAGTTATTGTATAGGTATTAATTTCGCTCCGTAGCTAAGTTAAGAGGATAGTTATTGTATTAGTTATTGATATCGCGCCATACTACGTCAGTCAATAAATTAGCTGATTCAGTATGGGTTATATCTTTATGGCGGTTGAGAAAATACCGTAACCTATCTTCAAACGATTTACGAGTCGTGAACGACAAATTGTGTTCTTAATTTTAGTTTTAATTGCATTGGATTATTTTTGTTTGGAGGTAAGTCAAGTTTACATTTTTTTTCAGCACAGTTACATTTTCATTCTGTAATCATTGCGAGCAATACAGCACGCACGTTTCGCGCCCTTTTTTTCTCTTAGAAGACGCGTGTCCTTTCTTGATGATGTGCCTGTTAATTAATTTGATTTAAGATTGTTTTCCTGCGGATTGGCCGTTTCAGTGTAATTTAAATGATAAAGATCATTTGATGCGGCGCTTTCAGTGATATTTGACACCCACCAAGAATGACTGTTTTACCTGTCGTTTTTAATTTGACTCGCCTTACGGGCTTGGCAAAATACAGCACAACTCGTAAAAATACTCAGCGAAATTGTTTGAAGAGCTAACAAAAGGCTGGATGCTTTGACATTTTCTAAAAAATCAGAGCCCTATCATACTGACTTAGTGTAATTACATTGTTCATCAATCAGATCTCTTAGTGAACATACATCACGTATGTAAATATCTTATCGAAGCAGTTCAGAGGAGGGCATTGAAGATTATCTTTCCAGATAATGGTTATCAGGAATCATTTGTTTTGTCTACTCTCCCAACCCTAAGTAAGCGCAGGGTTCTTGCCTGCATCATGTTTTTCAAGGACCTTCACAGGACGAAATATCAAGAATCCGTAACCGGAAACGTGAAAGAGATTTGTGAAACCGTTGCGGAAACATGGCAGGTAACACGTTTATCAGCTGGCGGTTTGGTGACGTTTACTCCTTTTTCCGTTGCTGCGGTAACAACGGAACCGAATCACTTTTTTACATGTTTCCGTCAGGTTTCAGTTGAAGAAAACAAATGTTTCCACATATGTAACTTCATGTTTACATGTGCGGAAACACATGGTAACGTTCCGGAAACATGAATTTTTATATTTCCGTCAGACCGAAACGTTCATGGAAATACAAGGTTACGTTTCGGAAACACGTTTTCCTGTTGTTTCCGTTGACGTAATAAGACAGAATGTCGACGGAAATACGAGGTTACTTGTAGGAAATATTTTTTCCTCGTGTTCCTGCGGATGTATTCAGACTTAGAGGGGAGGAAGTACAATGTTCTGTTTCAGAAACACTTTTTTTTTTGTTTCAGTATGTGCAGTAGTGGCTTTTTCTCTTCCTTTTTCATTATTACAGGACATCTTCGATATTTTCACCTTTATTGCCTCGGATTTTAGAGCAAAGAGACTGCTCGTAATCTATTTTGACTTGTCTGAGAGGCTCGATTGCCTGCACATAGTACCTTCAAAAAGATTCTTATAGAAAAACAGCAATATAAATTCGATATGACCAACTGGTATCTTATTGGAGGAACTTCCACTACTCTTGTTTAAGAAATTATGAGGGAGGCTTACCTTCGATGGTTGACTTCCTCCACTTCTTCTTACCGTAAACTGCCCGTACTTCAAGTAAGAGTTTCTTGGCCAAGGATTGAATTGATGAACCATCGAAACTACACATACAATAGAGAAAAAGGAGAAGATTAAGAATAGAGAAATAATACCTAGAAAGGTAAATCTTGGAAATGATTGTCCAAAACATACACAGGCCGCGATGAAACAGTCATTCACATCTGCATAGAGCAAGACGAATGAAATCACTCGTCGACCAAGTGAGAGAAAAAAGAAAAATTTAAAGACAGCTTTTGAGCAGCAGTTAACAAATTGTCCCAAAGCAGATCTAGACAGAGTAGGGTTGAGACACATTTCTTCAAAGCCCTGAAAACTTTTTAACTTTAAAAGAATTGCGATTAGTTTGGTGGGAATCGATCACAGAAAAGTTAAATCAAGTAAAGACACTCTGTTTTCATCTCAAAGATAAGAGGGCAGTAAGAGACCGATGGGTTCTTCTCCACAAGAAGTATAAGGCTAAGATGAATCAAGAAGAAACTGCAAGTGAAATATCCGTGGAAGACATGTCTGAAATATATGTTTTGTTTGAAGAACTCGTCAGAAGAGAAGAAAGCTTAAACAAAGTTGGTGATGCTCAGTCAAGAAAGCAAAAAGAAGATAAAAGCAAGGCAGATGACATAAGGCAGAAAGCTTTAGAGCGATACAGCGAAACGAAAAAGCGCAAGTCAAGAGAGAATGGCGATGGATGCTAGGAGAAACCGAAGGGCCAAAGGAGAAGTGCTCGCACCGAACCACTAGTTGAATTCATGCAAGAGAAAGTCAAGACTGAGCGAGAATTACTACAACAAGAGCTGGATCTTAGAATACTAGAGCAAGAGCAGAATCGGCAAGTGATGGTGACTGTCTTACTGCAACAACAACAAACAAATCAAGCCATTCTGTCGGTTATTGAAAAGCTTCTTTAGAAGAAAGAATGACATTTTCCCATAGTATGAACATGTAGATTCAGTATTTATTTGTTTCGGCAAAAAGACAGGTCTTTGTTGAAATCGATGTCTTATTATTTACTTGCGTTTTGTGAATTAGTAAAAAAACCAAGTTCATTCATTGTTATTGTTACAAGTTTGATCACTTCTGCATTGTTGACCACCAAGAAGAATTTAGGTACTTAATGAATTTGTGTTTAATTAAAATGGCCTTCATTTCTGCTCGGTTTATAAGAGAGAATTTATCTAAAATGATACTGCAATGAAGGAGGGTCTAGACCAAAATAATCTGAGGTTTTGTTTCCATATATGCAGGTACCAGCATTATTAAGAAGTGCACATACAAGATACATTTTTCCCACTCAACTCATTCCAATTTTCAGGTTTTTCTTAAAGCCCAAAAACTTGAAGTCGTTGATGATGTCACCAAAGAGCCACTCCTCAGGTACTCTAACAGAACTCATGTCAGAACTGTATTGTTCCATCATCAGTGTTAGGACGCCATGGCGAAATGGTGCCTGTAGGTGTATTCACAGCGGATAGGCGGGATCACCATAAACACTCATGGGTTGGCCAGTTGGGGAAAATGCATTCCTTTCCAATTCCTGTAGAAGATTGGAATCTACCAACATGCTTGCATCATGTTTTCTCCCCTCTGCATACCAAAACGGATAAATAAAGTTAATAAATTAAAGAAACCTTATGTGGCAGCTTATTTTCATGGCATCCCAGTGAACATCAGTTACCGACAGGCCAATACATATTTCCAATGAGTCCATTTGGTAGTGCGATGGACTGAAATTGAGGGAATGTACCCGTTTATGGCCATTGTACACTATTGTTTGGTGTTGGCATGGGCGAGAAATTGGTCTGACTGTTCCATCAATAAACCCAAAGCAGTTGCTGAGAGGTGCACCCTTTGCATGAATAACATTTGCATACTCCTGTAGCATTGGCGGAATCAATATATCAAAATTCCATTGTGAAATAGGATGACCATGGCTCAAAAAAATATGATCCATCATTGCATTGGCAATCATACTTATTTCATGAACTGGTCTTGCGAAACGATGAATCATGTCTGAATAGCGACATGGATACGAGAAGCGCTTCAGAAGCATACTAAGTCTTTCAGTTCGGTCACACGTTGTTCTTTGTGGACAGCGTATAGTGTCTGGTAATGGAAGGACATTTGCCAAAAACGTTATGTCCTGTTTTCGCAATCTGAACTCCGCTAAACACTCTGATTCATCCATCTGGTCGAAATCAAACTTAGGGTAGGAGCTGTAAGGGAATTCTGGATTCTTGGAACTGTAACTTTCGTACAAGGTCAAAAATTCTTCGTCACTGATGATTTTACAATCGTACAAAAAAAGAAGGAGGTTTCTCATCTCACTGAAGGATGACATGAAATTGTGGTGCATGCCGTTGAAATATAACTCATTAAGGATTATTCATCACATCGCACGCAGCACCCGTGGGAAAGATGGAGCAAATCCTGCGTTCTAATTGGCTACTCGCGCAGGCAAGATGGGCCCATGTTGCCCGCTCAGGATTGCCCACATCTATCCCGCGCATGAAAAAAATAGAATAAGAACTACGTTTTTAACTCTTGGAAAATTTCGGCGACGGAAAGGCAAAAAACGGCAGAAGATAGTATAAGCAAAGAAAATAGAAGCAGCTCTCGTGAGCTTGTTGTGGAACAAACACAGTTGGCTTTCTTTCCCAGCTCTCGAAGGAAAAAGGTCATTCTTAACTCGTAATAAAGTGAAATATTTTGTAATATAATAAATCCTTTATTAACCAAGCTTGTCCGGTCAAGATATCTGGATATTAGCCTTTTTCCTTTTTCAAAATTTTATGCACTTCGACTTCGTCTCGGTCTATAAAATGCAGAGAAAGAACTCGGCCAATATCCAGTGATTTTGACCTCACGCTTGATTAATAACCCATATATAAATTATTCACACATGAGAAATTGCTCAAACATTATCAGTGCTATTTATATCATTGTTATAGTGTGTACATACTGCACTGTAATTCAGCTCTGCCTACAAAAGAGTTGATTAAGCATATCTATCTATCTGTCTATCTATCTATTTATCTATCTATCTATCTATCTATCTATCCACTCTTTGTCTTCTTTTCTTTAACTTTCATACCAGTATGTTAATATCGTGTCAAGCAATAGCTTAGAAATTTAACCTTGCCTTACCACAAGAAGAAAAACCCAATCAAATTGAAAATTTTTCAAAAGACAAGAATTCAACTGTTCTATGACCTTACTAAACCGAATTCTCATAGGGATCGATAATTCCTAATTTCTAAATTCGATGACGTCACGTGAAAAGCAAGAATTAAATCCCCTGGTTCAATAGCCCCGGACGCTAAATCAAAATTTTACGGTTTGCTCAACTCTCGACTTTTTTCACGAAGATTGGCTGGATATCATCAGTTACTCGTCAGCACTGAAGCGGAAATGTGAATTAATACAATAGCGCCTGGAAAAGCCCAAAGGAAGGGGAGAAAGGGCTTAAACTAGCCCAGCAGCATTGATAATTCTCGCTTTCCCGATTTAAAGAAGCAATAAGTTAGAAATCCAAGAGTGGCTTTTTTAGAGGATCGGTTTATTTATAATTCAAACTTAAGAAGGGAAAGTTTAAAGAAGTATATTAGTAACCTTTGGACTGAAATGAGGAAAAGAAAGGACATTTTTTTAGTTGAAGGCCTATTTCAAAAGCGATCTGTTTTAACAAAGAAGATCGAGACAACATTTCAATCACAATCAGATGCGATGCTTGATAAACTTACGGGGAAAAATATTTTCGTGACTAGCGGGTGCACGTCCATAGAGAGACAAAGAATTGAATAAATGATCAAATAAAAAAGTTGAATATTAAATAACTTAATAATTGCAATAATGGTGAGTAGTTTTAAGGATCAATCTACAAGATTTTAAGTTTTCCATGTCCTTTTTGTGGATGCAAATTTACCTCTAATGAAAGAAAAAAGCTAAAACAATTATGGTTATATCGATGTAGATAACTTAACTCTTCCCTTTCAGCTTTGAAGGCCGTTTTTACAAACCTCAACGCCAGTGGAAGAATTGGTCCAACAACGCTAGGCAGTCACTACACAGGACAGGATCATGACGGGCAAGTCACACTGTCCAGCGGAGTTCAACAATGGACTGTGCCGTACACTGGTGACTACAGAATACAAGCAATAGCAGCTGCAGGAGGGTACGATATACGCGCTAACAGTATTCTGTACCGAGGAAGAGGAGCAAGAATGATTGGAACGTTCCGCCTAAACAAGGGTGAAGTCATTCAGATACTTGTTGGTCAAGAAGGAGGAATAAACACGCACTCTTACTCTTCTGGAGGTGGTGGAGGAACGTTTGTGGTGAGAGGAGCCAACACACCTTTGATAATAGCTGGAGGCGGAGGAGGGACACAATATGCTGGGTCAAGACTTGAAGGATGTTACGCCAGCACAAACACAACAGGGAATCCTGGATACAAATCATGGTCAGGGGGGAGCAATGGACATGGTGCACAGACTGCTGATGATGGATGGTCAGGTTAGGGTATATCGTGATGATTCCTTTCATCTCAGCTTTTAATTTAATGTTATATCATAAACATATGATAACGTGCGCTCTAATTAGCTTATAATTTATGAAAAAGAAATGGAGATGGCTCAGACTGACGTCATTGTTAGCTAAAATTTCCCATCGAGTTTACCCGCGAAGTTTCAAAACTTTCAAGATTGTTTTCCCTTTGACCTTTTGGAGCTCTATTTGAAAAGAAGATGTGCTAAAATTATAATCGTTTCTAAGAACAATGAGCACCAGGTAACTCTTAAAAGCCACGGAATTAGTTTTGGAGTCGACTACAGGTCGAGCCCCAATTGACATTTGTCCCCTTACAAAATACAAAGAATAGAAAAATATGGGTTACATATGCACTTATGTACTTTGTCTATAGAATAAAATAATTTGCCGACCAACTGCGACACTTAGTCAGGGCGGAGTATAAAGCGTGAGCTTTTCTGTATGAAACCACTTAACTAAGGCTTTAAAATTATGTAAATAGCTAGCTTGCTTAATGTTGCTCGGTAAAACGTTCCATAATTTCATTGTGCGAGGAAAGAAAGAGTTTGTAAAATACCGCTGAGTATGAGTAAATAAAAGGCCGAATGTTTGCAGGGTGATGACGTCGGGTTGCGTATGTATGGTTGGCAGGAAGCAGAAGATGGTCAAAACTAGCGTTGATAAGACCTGACCTAATTTTGTATAAAATGACAATATCATGGACTTCTCTTCTGAATTCAAGCGGCAGTAGGCTAAGAGTTTTCATTCTCGCAGTGTAGCTGGTTTTCCTATCTGGGTGGTTTAGTATAAATTTAGTAGCTCGTCGTTGTATATTTTCGATTAGCCTACGATGTTTTCCTGTGTAAGGAGACCATACAGAGGATATGTACTCGACGACTGGGCGAACTAACGCAGTGTACATCATTTTCATAGTTGATACGTTAACAATGTCTCTACCGCATACACGCTTTACAAGACCAACAACTTTGTTACACTTGGCACATATCTCTTCGATGTGCGTCGTCCATGATAGTGGAGTAGTGACAGTCACGCCTAAATCCTTCGTGTCAGGAGGCGAGTCCAAGGTCTGACCGTCTAAATGGTGTGTATGCTTCTCTCTTTGGCGCTAGGTTCTCTTTGACATGTGCAGAACTTTACATTTGTTTCTGCTGAAAGACAAACCGTTGTCGTCACACCAAGTTTTGGAGTTGTCCAAGTCAGCTTGAAGCAGGGAGGCACATCCATTGGAAACAATTGAGCAATATAGCTTGCTACCCTCCGCAAAAAGGCCAACTTTACTTCCGTGGGTAATGGAGCACGACATGTCATAAATGAAGAGCAGAAAAAAAAGCGGACCCAGGATGGAGCCCTGGGGTACTCCTGATATGACCGGGAGCCAGTCTGAGGATATGCCGTCAACAACAACTCGTTGGTATCTGTCAGAAAGATAGCTTGAGAACCACAACAAAACTGTACCGGATATATCAAGGAGCTGAAGCTTCGAGAGGAGTAGCCTGTGTGGAACCTTATCAAATGCCTTTGACAGGTCAAAATGGATTACGTCCACTCCTTGGCCATTGGCTAGTTTTTATAAAATATCGTGATACACCTCAAGTAGTTGCGTTTCTGTGGATTTTCCTGGCTGGAAGCCATGCTGGGGTTGGTGAAGAAAAGACGATAAATGAGGGTGGCAGTGATTAAACACGCATTGTTCCATAACTTTGGAGACAATGCATACAAGAGAAATTGGCGTGTAATTCTCCGTTAGGGTAGGATCACTCTTTTTAAAGACGGGTGCAATGTGCGCGCGCTTCCAGTTTGCTGGAAAAGAGTCCGTAGACAGCGACATGTTGAAGAGCCTGCATAATGAAGGGGCAATTTCAGCAGCAGTTTGTTTTAGGAGTGAACCGGGGATGCCATCTGGTCCCCCGGCCTTACTTGGATCAATATTCGACAAAGCCTCCATCACTTCAGCAACTGTAAACATAACATTTTTTGGAATGTCGTTTAGAAAACGAACTAAACTCGAATTTGGCTGTAGATTTTCATGATGACGCGTTTGTAAAGAACTGTTAATTTAGGACACCTTTTATTGATAACTGACCAACGTTTTACGACACTGGAAGTGTTTCCAAACTGGAAGTCAGCTCTGTCGCTAATCAGTTTTACTTGCGAATAGAAGTTAAAGGACCTACATAAATGTATTTTTGTGATTATCAAAAATTTTATTCATAAAAAATGGAACTTGATCTCAATTAAGGCAATAGTATGATTCTTACTTAAGGATATCAGAGACATTTGACGGCTAATATTGGCTTGCTTATTTGACGGTTGACGGCAAAATGTTGCGATTTTGACAGTTGACGGTTAATATTTTGGCCGTTTGACGGTTGACGGTTAACCCAATTGAGATCCTCGTATAGGTCATATTTACTTTAAAGACGAGTGAAGGTAGCGGTACCGGTGTTGGCGGGAGAACAGAAATTATTTGGCTCGAGGTCGTGATGTACAGACCGAATGTAGCACGTTCCGTACCTCGTAACCGAGAGCCAAATATTTTCCCGTCCAGTCCGACCAAACTTGATTAACAAGCATCTTATCATATGACCACTTCGAAAGTTTGGTTTCAACCTAAATAGGACGCGGTGCAAGAGCGCACGCTGAACAATCACAGTAAAGGACCTAGAGTTTTGGGAAGTGTTTCCAAACCGGAATTCAGCTCTCTCGCTAACCAGTTTTACTTGCGAATAGAAGTTAAAGGACTTACCTAAATGTATTTTTGTGATTATCCAAAGTTTTATTCATAAAAAATGAAACTTGATCCTAGAGGAAAAATTTTCCTTTGTTTTTTCGTGTCAGAACAAGAAACTCACCGTTCATTAACTCGTCCGACCTTACACACGTCAGCTTTCACTTTGACGGTTTTTAATGGGATTATGCGCGTGGGGCCGTACGGGTCGAATTATCATCAGGCATAAACCTGCAATTTAGCATTAGGTAACGCGTTAAATCAACTCATAGTATCTTGGACAGGGGAAGTAAGACAAAACATTTTATACAACTAGGTATTACAGATGCTATATACAAATATTAAACCTCATGGATAGCGGCTCAATTAAAATGCATTACGTAAGGTTTGGCCGAACTGATATGGGTTTACTGAAGCGTTCTACGATACTAGTAAAAACTTCCAAAAATCGAATGGGTTAGCATCCCATTTAAATATAGTTTCGCTTCTGTTTACGAAAATCTTAAAATATATTCATTGCATTTCAGGTGGTGGTGGCGGCGGGTTTTACTCCAGTGGAAGAAGTGGAACGAATTTTAATGGTCCCAAAGGATTGGGGGGAGAAGGTGGTAAGGGATTTAATCAGGGAGGGGTGGGTGGAAGAGCCAAGCATTTCCATGTGGATGGTGGGTTTGGTGGAGGTGGTGGAGGGGGTGGAGCTTATGGATGGGAAGCCAGGTATTACGATGTCGATGGTGGGTTTAGAGGAGGTGGTGGAGCTTATCGAACGATAGAAGGAGGAGGAGGAGGAGGAGGAGGATACTCTGGGGGAGGCAGTGGAAAAGGGATTCCTGAATCCTGTGGGGGTGGGGGAGGCTCTTACAACAATGGAAGCAACCAGGACAATGAATGTTGTTTTAACAACGCTGGTCATGGTCAAGTGACTATTACGTTCCTGGAGTGAAAAAACGTTTATCTAATATGATAATGGCACTTAGAATTCAGCTTTCTTTGATTGGCATTCTAATTGACTGATAGCACTCAGTTAAAGTGCCAAATAAAGTGTAAGTGTTTAATGTTTTAACCTCTGAAAAACACAAAAGTCACGCATCTTATTTTTCATTTGGTTTACTTTCAGCCATCATTTCTTTCGGTCATCTATTACATTAACTGAGCTCGGCGCTTTTTTAGAGTTGAAAACTATAGATAGGGTCCTAAAACTTGAGATAATGAAGAAACTTTTTTTTCCAGAAGTCGAGTCTCACTCGTTATACTTTTTCACCAGGGTCTTAAGGAAAGGTCACAATATCGCACAGACCAATTATCACACTGTACAACCTAAAAAGATTAGAAATAATTCCAGATGATTATATCTTCTGGAAGCCTAGGACTGAGTTTTGCCTGTTCTTTCTAATCAATCCTTTGATACGAATCCTCACTGACCTTCTTTTAACGATGTTCAGTGAGATCAGTGAAGATTTTAAGATCAAACAGTAAAGACGACTATTACACTGTAACAGTCTGGAATCAGTATGGCTTTTCGAACGTAGCACTAAACTTAATATTGAGAATGTGTTGTCAAATGATGAAGACTAGCATGAGGGGATAATGACAGTCACGATTTTGTCAAAGTTGAGATCCCTCCCGAGCCCTTCGGAGAAGAAAATAATTTGAAAATTGGTATAACAACCGGAAAACCTAATGAGTTGCTACAGCAACTTTGTAAATTTGCGCGTGAAATCTTAAATTATGGACCAGAATTAAGTAGGAAGTATTCACAAGTATTTCATTTAACGACAGTTGTTAAAAAGTATTGCTAGTTTCGCAAAAAAAAATCCTTTCACTGTGTGAGGTATACATATTGCTTAAGTATTTGAATAACGGAATAATATTCCCTATCTCTCTGTAATAATAAATTTTATTAAAAACTGGATCATTGGATAATGCAATTCAAGACTTTTTATTGGCTTAGCCATTATGGTATATGAGCCAATATACCATAATCTACAAATATGGTAAGCGTACGCGTCAGCTTAAAATCAAAAGGGAGCTAGAAAATCCAGTTTCTTCTTACAAAANCGCAACCTAGTTAATAACGAAATCAAAAAAGCAAAAGAGCTCTTTTATAAAAGAGCATTAGATGAAAACGAAGGCAATTCGCGCCAGACATGGAGGATTGTAAATGAGCTCATGTCGAGGAAAACTAATAATTGTTCCATAAAAGAAATCAAAAGCAACGGTAACTCTATTTACGGCCCTCCTGAGCTGGCCGATGCCTTCAACAATCACTTTTCTTCTATTGGACCCAAGCTTGCTAGCCAGATTTATTCTAATAATGGTCCATCACACCTACATTACCTTGAGGGAACTGACAAACGTTTTGAGTTAAAATGTATTAATCCTTCTAAAGTGTTCTCACTTTTGTCTAAGCTTTGTAAATCGAAAGCCACAGGCTTAGATATGATATCTTCGCGACTTCTTAGGGAGTGCGCCGATCTGATGGCTGATCCATTGTGTTCTATTTTTAATCAGTCCATCAGATCAGGTGTTTTCCCTCAGGAATGGAAATGCGCAAAGGTTATTCCACTTTTCAAAGAGGGAGATCACTCCGACTTCAACAATTATCGCCCAGTTTCTATCGTCCCTATAGTAGCTAAGGTGTTTGAGCGTATCATTTACGACCAGGTTTACGGTTATCTCACTGAAAACAATTTGATTTCCAGCCAGCAATCCGGTTTTCGTTCGCTCCATTCAACTGTTACTGCCTTGTTGGAGGCCACAAACAATTGGGCCTTCAACATTGATAAAGGCAGTATAAATGAAGTTGTATTTCTCGACCTAAAAAAGGCTTTTGATACAGTTGACCATACAATTCTTATGTCTAAATTATTCAAATATGGTATCCGCGGTATCGCTTATGAATGGTTTAGCTCATACCTAGATAATCGCCATCAACAATGTTTCGTAAATGGTTCGCTCTCAATTAGTCAAGTTCTCACTTGTGGAATTCCGCAAGGAACAATTCTAGGACCTTTGCTTTTTGTTCTATACATAAATGATCTTCCTAATTGCCTGTCTGATTCAATTGCACGTATGTATGCCGACGATACTCACCTGAACTTTGCCAGTAACAACATAGAAATGATCAATGATGTTATGAATCACGACCTATCCAATGGTAACACATGGCTCCCTTCAAACAAATTGACTCTAAATTCATCTAAAACTGAATTCATGTAAATTGGATCGCGGCAAAGGATAGGTACCTACGATACTTCCCCTAAACTAATCATAGGTGGTGACATAATTAAACAGGTTAGCTCAGTCAAATCTCTGGGTGTGCATATAGACGAAAACCTTTCATGGAATATGCACATTGAAAAAATAGACAAGAAAATCGCATCGGGCATTGGAGCAATTAAACGTTGTAGGCCTTTTGTTAATCGAAACACGCTTGAGTCCGTTTTCAATGTCTTAGCTCAACCGTACTTTAATTACTGCAGCGAGGTCTGGGGGCATTGTAACAAGGGTCTTTCGAATAAGCTCCAAAAGTTGCAAAACCGGGCTGCCCGTATTCTGACCTTCTCCAGTTACGACACAAGCGCTGATCCTCTTTTTGTGCAACTTAATTGGAGACGGTTAGATACTCAGCGACAAATACAAGTGGCCACCATGGTCTATAAATCTATACATGGTCTTGCGCCCGACTATCTTGGTCCTCTTTTCACAAAATATGATCCTCCATATAATCTAAGGATCTCTGAAAACAAACTAGCTGTTCCATTGCCCCGCACCAATTTCCTGAAAAATAACTTTAGCTATAACGGTGCGGTTATCTGGAATAGCTTGTCCCCTGAATTGCGGCAAGCAAAATCACTTCAATCCTTTCGAAATGGTTGTCGCAATTTCTTCGTCTGAATCGACAAAACGCACACGGCATCTATGTAAAGCAGAATTTCTTTATTTTTTTCTATTTCACTTTTAAATTTTAGATCATGTTTACATAGATTAAAGTAGATTGTAATTGTAATAATAGATTGTAATAATATTATTATTTTATCTGATAGATTTACCGTGTCTAAATAAAAAATAAAGTTCAAATC